TCTTGCGTGACGCTTTAAATTTTTGCATAATTAAAATGTATATTAATATTACAAATTATTTCGACTTCATTATTTCAGGTTTATGGATTTTATATTCGACGAGAAATAAACGATGAACGGAAACCCGACGAGGAATTAGTAGTGGATGCAAAGTCAATAACTCGTTCAGTGAGTGAACTGAACTTGACCTCTGAGAGTATGGTCATTGTTGATACAAGTGGTGTGTTGATTAAATCAGCTAAAAGATGAAACAAAGACTTCAAGCAAACTATAATGTTATCAATAATTGTTATGTGAACAAATTCTACAATGTTTAGTCCTGTCAATACAAAAGCATTCCAAAGTGTGATAAAGTATCTTAATGTTAAGATTCTGACTGCATTCAATTAAAAAAAAGGAATGGAATTTTGTGGAAATGAAAACAAACAAAAATTCTGATTTCCGTCAAGTTTATAATTACTACAGTTCACTGAAGTCGCATTGATCATCAAATGATGACGTATCAAAAACTTCTTACTTCTGTTACAAATTTGTCATGTAGATGTCAAATTTCAGTATGACTTTTGTCAGTTTTGCCAATTGAGTGAGAGTCTGTGCAATCAATTAAAGTATGCAAATTTCGGAATGCTTTGCTAACATTTTGTTTCACATATTGTGTAATAACACATTACTTCACGAATTCATTATGGAGATAAATTGTTTGCTTCAAAAGCTTACTTTTTTTTGGCTGTAATCTTAAAATTAATTGTAATTTGTAACATTCGAAAGCAATGGGGCTGAGAGTTGGGTGCTGTTTGTATTAAGTATAGAATGAAATAATTCCAAGTTGTAGACTGATTTGCATTTTCTGATACTTCTGGCATCCAGCTTTTGTTGAGCAAAACCAAAACAGTTCTGTGTCTTCTTCCATCAAATGCTCCACACTTAGCATTGTATATTATCGTTCGTTATTAAACAAAATGTGTAAAACATTCAGCAGAAGACTTTTGATTTTCTTTGTAAAACTTTCTTAAATAAAATATTTCGTGAAAGTTTTTGTTAATGCAAAGAAATATTGAAACTATCGATCAATGTCAAAAATCGAGATATCATCGTCTTCATCATACTCTGCCTTGTCTTCAAGTTTCTTTCTTAGCGAAAGATCAAATCAACAACACAGCTCGTGAGAAATTACGAGCACGTAAAGATCACTAAATCAAAATCAAATCACTGAACTTCAAAACGATGACGCTGCGTGAAGCGTGTTCCATACTTTCTTCGATATTTTTTGGCTTCTTTTTGTTGAATGTTGATCAAATTCTAAACGATTTGTTCATTTTGAAAATTGAATCATATAAGAAACACTTCATTACAACTTCAATCATGGTAATAAGAAGCTGCAAACGCTAGTAATTATTTGTTAGTGATAGTATTAACAATTTTTTAGTTGATATCAAATAAATGCAATGATATAGACATAATCTCCAAAATTTTGCCTTTATGTGTTAATTGCGATGACCTTGCGAATACTATGCATTCATAACGAAAATGACGCGACAATAAATTTCTCATAGCAATTTTTTTAAATTACTGACTAATTGTGCAAAACTTTGAGATTTTTGGAGAAATAACAAATGTCACATTTTCATGAGCTATTCCAACGGCTTTATCAGTTGCTGTGATAGACTTTCCCATCTTGGAATAATTATTATCTATCAAGTGGGCTCGTTCTGACGATGATTTTTTACAGCCAATCATCAAGCACTCGAACACTTGCAAAAACAGAAAATGAATTAGTATTGCTAATCTCATTTACTGATTATTAGACGAAAAATTGCTGAAAATCGATTCATTGTTTACTTATTAAATAAAAAACGATCCAAAACTGACAATTCATCTCACTAACTGCTATGAAAACTAATAGATTTCAAGCAGGTATTAACTCTACCAAAATAATCGCCATGAGAAGGATTATTAAGGAGGGCATAACTGCAAAATCATTCTTTAAAAATGTGATACTCTCATCAACGAATACATTTAAATGAGAAATTATATCCGTAATTTATGCTAATTTACTCAGAATAAACGGATGATTTTAAATAATGCTAATAAAAATAAGTCAAATTTTGCTGCCTCAATAATTATCCTAATTGAAACATGAACTTAATTCAGCAGTTATGAACATGTTACTCAAGACTTGTACATAAGCATTTTTTTTGCTCGTATAATGTCGTGTAAACGTGAACTTCACGTAATGGCATTCGCTTTTGTGCAGGAGATATAATGCAGTTCATTACTTCTTAAATTCATGCAAGAATAAAAGTATAATTACTGCTCAAAGTGTGCGCTGTTATCTATTTTCTTCCTTATTTTCCACAGAGTACCTACCTTCTGCATGTGTTTGACTCATTTTCTACTGTTCAATTTTTAACCCAATAAAAAAGATTGTCTGACGTGAATTATCGACAGCCTCGCAAATATCTTCAAAGATTTTGCTGGAAACTTACTTTCTGGGTTTATCCGATGCTTTCTAGAATGTTCCTCTCAAATTATTTTTGCTGTGAAATTTTGATAATATTTTTGAAAGGTCATTCTTTGCATCGTAAAATGGAAGGATTGCTAGCAAGTAATTACATTACATTCATTACATTAGCCTTTAGCCTAAAATTACACATTTTACAATTCAAAGCAATAAGTGATTACTTTGCAAAGTTTTTGCTTCAGTTTGCTAAAAGTGAAATGAATACTTGAAATGAGATCAACAATTTACAAAACATGAAATTATCATTTGTATGACCAAGCAACTTTTTATTCTTCTGAAATTGATTCGCAATTTAGAAAGTCGATCTTATTTTAAGCACTCCTGCATAGTCTAAATGTATATAGCAAACATTTTTTAAAGTTTCACAACGATAAAATTGTCGCAAGTACTACGAAGATAAAAGTTGCTTGAAACTTACAGTTACTATCTTCAAGATAAATTTTACATGGCATATTGAATTTGCAAGCGTAAACACAGCTCTATCTTCTTTCCATTAATGTCCTGATTATTTTGAGTTGCTTAATATTTTATTGTAAACTGATATATGTATTCGGTCTATTTTTCACTTACATACGTTACAAGCCCTACTTTGAAAGAAAAAAATCGAATCACTTTTTACAGAGAAAACGATCAAAAAGCAACAAATTTTATCATAAAATTCAAAATTATTTTCAAAAATTTTCTCTCCCACAATTTGACATGTTTGCAAAATGTCAGAGATTTTGTTATTCTACATCTGAAAGCCATTTTTCTTTTCTTAAGACAACACTTGCCGGCTTCTAAGGACATAAAGACAGTAATTATTTAGAACAGTTTTATTTTGTCAATGTGAGTAATTATTCAACTGTCATCTTAGATAACTAATTAGATTACTTTATAGATTAATTTGAGAGCTATAAGTTGTGATTCACAATTATGCTTCTGCTGCGTCTAAGCTCCCTAGCAATTGTAATCAAATGTGTTTTTGAACTGCAAGAAATTTTATTCAGTCTGAGAAATATCAGTGCAAAATTTGCAGATTAATCTTATTTAATTGTTAATTAGTTTATGTGATTTTATTTTCTTTTTGTTTCCTTCAAGAAAATATTTTTCTTTGTTCAGCAAAATTCTGTTCACGCATCAAAACAACCATTTTTCAATCTCTATTCAATATTTCGTTCTTAAACCCAAAATATTGAGAATTTAAGTTTTTTATTTCATTTCACTTCACAGTAAGAAAGAATAATTTATTATGATAAGAGTAATATACTTCGATAGTAGTTCTTATTTAATTTTTCTTTGTCTCACTTTTTCCCCAAGCAGTTTGTCCTATTTGCTATGACATTTCTTTAATTCACAGAAAGTTCATATGAGTTCCTGATTTTGAGTTTAAAATTCAGAGGTAAACACATCACTTTTTCATAAATTATTACAATTAGTTAAAATAAATAATCCAGCAATCATTCGTTGTATAGCTGAGAATCGGTATTCAACTTTTCCATATATGATATTGAGAAGTTTTCTATGCATATTTGCATATTTGGTTCGTTGATTTCTAAAAATTCCATTTTGATTTATAATACAATTTATTGATTGAAATAAAATTTCGGTTATGTAAGGTAGTAAATAAATTGCTGTAAACTGCAGTGTCATTTGGAATTAAAAGCGGAAAATTCGTTGTACAGCTGAGAATCGGTAAGGACAGATGCATAGAGTATATCAATACGAGCATTTCGAATAAATTTAGCTAGCAAACACTTTGTGTAAAAGTTTTCGCAGAATTTAGTCGGTCAAGAATGAAAATTTTTCAATTCCTTCGTTACGTCAAATTTTATGCGTAAGAATCAAATTGCAGTGATGGATTTTTCACAACTATTTTGGGTTGATTAGAATAATTCTAGCATTTGTTCCGTATTAACATTTGTTAAAACTAAGCTGGAAAAGTTCGAAAGAATGAATCATCATTGACCTTTGCAAAATTCCACCACCATTAGAAGTTACTCTGATGACTGGTAATGAATTTTTCAATCCCTTGCACTCTGAGGATTCAGCGAAGATCAGCTGTATAATTCTTATAACACATAATTTGCGAGCATGTACCAAAATTTATTTTTGTCACTTCAATTTTCAGAAGGTCAAAAATAACCAAAAGAAACTGAACCTCATTATGTAATCTATTTGTATCTGATTACTGACCACAATTTTCTCAAAAAAAAAATTATTTTTCTGTTTATTTGCCCTAAAATTGAATTGCATTGTAACGAGTTATCTCAAAAAGGCATACAACGCTGGTAAATTCAATACTATCAATTCTCATTAGTCATTGCTTTTTGCATTTTGCGAAGTATTCATCTATAACTGATATGACTAAATACATTTTTCTGTGGCATTTAATCAAGAGGGGTCAAAGGTCAAAATTGAATAAAGAGGTCAGAGGTCAAAATAAAAAATATCAAAGGCGTAGGTCAGTTATATCTTTGATTACTAAACTTTGTTTACCAAATGAATGAAACCTTCCATCTTGATTCATTGAACAAACACACAATACGAAATTTTTAGCCACCTTTTTAGCCAAATAAAAATGCAAATATTCGTAAAAAGATAAAAAAAGGCTTTGTTGACAGTAAACAATGCAACGGCCATCAGTTATTTTTTCAGCATAAAATTACTTCGGCATGTTTTCTGTTTGCTATATTAATATAAGTTTTGCTATTCCGAGCAGATAATTGCTGTATTTATATAATATTTGCA